TCCCTAATCTAAAAATAGATCTCGCCTCAATTATTCTCTATGACTGAGTCTCGACTTATTTTCTTCATAGTATTTAGCAGAATCTGAAATTATTCTTTTTTGTGTGTGCTTGGCATCTGCTTCTCCAATAAAATACAAACTCTATCAGGCCAGGGCAGTATGTTCAGCTCCTAGAATATAGTTCTAGGGCTCAACACAATCAAACATGCACTTACCAAAATACCACTCTGGCTGGATAGCCGATTTAACACGCAGAGACCAGTTAGGAAGTTGCTAGGGCAGTTTGGGTGAGTGACGATGGGAGCTTGTACTAGGGCTGTGAGCACAGAAGTGGTGAGAAGTGAATGAATTTCACAAATATTTGGGAAGAAAATCATTTGTCCTAGGCCACCCATGCAGGGACAACAGCAAGCGAGAACAAGCTTGGCATGCTGAATAAACAAAAATGGGAGATGGAGCACAGTGAAAAATGAAAAAATGGTAGGAGATGGGGCAGACAAGGATATAATCATGTAATACTCACAGGCCACAGTGAGAAGCTTGGGTTTTGCTTTAAATGTAATGGAAGCTATTGAATTGTGTAATCAGATTTACATTCTTAAAAGATCATTTTGAGTGCTACATTGAGAATAAATCATGGAGGAGGCAGCCAGGGTAGAAGCAGGCAGAGCAGGTAACATGGCAATTGTAAAACCATAGAGAAGAATGAAGGTAGCTCGGGTTATGATTGTAAGAATGGAGACGAAAAGCAGTAGGTAGATTCTGAATGGTTTCGGGACTAAAGTAGCAGCATTTGTTTATGGATGTAATGGACAAAAGAGAACATGAAACATGTCTAGGTTTTTGGCCTGAGCAACTGGGCGAGTTTTTATGCTGTTTCCTGACATGGGAAAAGACAAATGGGAGAGAAGTGGGAATTAAGCCAAGTTAATAAACTATTATGTTGGGTATTATCTTTCACCCCATATGGTAAGTCTGGATATTTCCCACATAATTTTGTTGACTGTTTCTGTAAGTTATGTACCAAGGACTGGGAGTTTCAAATATTCTCTGCAACATTTGAGAACTAAAGAATCCCCCTTGATCATGATCTTCTGTGTCCCTGTAAGCTTACAGGCACACATGGCATCATCATTATGCTGAGTCCTGTGCTTTACTCCATGACATTACCTGTTTGATAGAGTGCCACTAGGACAATTCAGCAACATATTCTATCACCATCTATCAAGGCATGAGAAAAATCATCTTCTTTTCAAGCTATTAGAATTGAATGATCACAATCCAGTTATTTGAGATTATTTCTTCATCTGAGCAACAAGAAAATGGTCTCATTTACAAGTTTAAAAAAGGAATTATATGAATCAAGAACCAAAGACCTTTCTCAACACTAAATCACAATTATTTTAGGTAGTACTATGTAGGTTTAGAGAAATTAAAACCGTATGTATTACTCAAACATTTCTTCTAATATTCATTTGATCACATATTTAATAGGTAAACATGACTTTGTTATCCAAGCCAGGACACTTATGAGTGACAGAAGGAGCTATTGATCATTACAGGATAACACCAGGACTGTGCAGACATACTGAGGTCTGAGGTCAGTCTGTTTATAATATGATGCCTTAAGAATGAAAGCTCAGACAATATCTGGCTTCATTTAGCTAAGTCAGGTGGTAAAATATGAAGAATAAAATGAAAGAAAAATCAGGAATTCTGCAGCTTGCTTAGTAACTTTTCTCCTCTTTGCTTTTCATTTAGTTGATTTAAATACATAATTACCAAATAAGTTTTGAAAAGTCAGTTTATTCAATTAAATTTGTGGTACAAATCCAAATAAAGATTCTTATTTCATTATATTAGGTCTTATATTAGGGCTTAAGAAATCTAAAGAGGATGCTATAGACATATCATCTATACATCAAAAGAAAAATTAACTTCAAAAACTAGAATAAAAAAATTAGGCCAGACATGGTGGCTAATGCCTGTAATCCCAGAACTTTGGGAGGCCAAGGTGGGTGGATCACTTGAGGTCAGGAGTTTGAGACCAGCCTGGCTAACATGGTGAAACCCTAACTCTACCAAAAATATAAAAAATTAGCTGGGAGTGGTGGTATGTGCCTGTAATCCCAGTTACTTGGGAGGTTAAGGGAGGATAACTGCTTGAACCTAGGAGGTGGAGTTTGCACTGAGCTGAGATAGTGCCGCTGCACGCTAGCCTGGGGGGCAGAGCAAGACTCCATCTCAAAATAATAATAATAATAATTAAAAAGATTAAAAAAACAAATTCCAATATTTATTGTAGTCAGCACATAAAATACGTATATAGGTTTGGTACAAATATATGCATACAAAGGAAATATTTATATATAGAATAAGACTATCATATCTAGAACTAAGACAAATCAAACTGAATACCAAATCTTTGGTAACAAAAGGGAAAAGGTTTCCACTAATGTAAATATATACTTGGGGACATTTATTTTCTCATTTCAGTTATCATTTTCAAACTATGCTGTATTTTCTGTATAACCCATTTTTCATCTGCCCAATTACTAGCAATCTTTTTTCTACTATCAAAAATGATCATTTGTTTCTTTATTGTAGTAGATAAAACATCCTTTCATTGTTTCAGCTCACAAGCTGTGCAGATCCTACCCACTGTTCTTGCCTCCAGCACTTCACATTATTGGTGTATTATTTCATGCATGCCCTACTCTTTTATCAATTGCTTTTGAAGTAATGTTAATAGACTAGAAAATTGAGACATTTATGAAGTATAGGCAGTGTTTATGAAAAAATCCATAAAATATGACACAGGCAAGACAAGATAAAAGCAGCATTTTAATAGATTATGGCAAAGAGATCCTGTCAGAGTTGACAACTGACTCCTTCGAGATCACTAATTTTTATGGGATTAATTCTGTGGTATAAAAAATGAAGTTAAATGTCCTAATTAATCTGTAAATAGCACACCCACAATTAAACCTTGTGGTCCCTTCTTGGATTGGGGCTGCAGTGAGTTTTGAAAGTAATTATCTCAAATTCACAATGAAGATGATTTTTCTTTTTTCTTTTTTTCTCATGGCATTTCAGCTAAATATTCACCGGGATTCAGACTTGAATAGAGTCTTCTGATATATAAGTCAGTTTGCAGATTTGTGTAGAACCACATTGATGACACTTGTAAGCTATATACTTACAATGGCTTATATATTAAAAAATAAAATTTGGAGAAATGGTGTGGAAAGGAAGTGGTAAAGAAAAACTAGAGTTTCTCCATATTGGGGCAACTCTTCCTTGTTCTTGAAGAACCCCAAAAGGTTGAGTTTCCTTCTCTTACACAGGTGATAATGTGGCGGTGCGTTGTCTCTTACACAGCAGTTAGAAAGTACATTACACTGGAGTTAGAAAATAAAGCACTCCCTGACTTTTCCCTCATGATGCTGTGGCAGGGTGCTCCAGAAGTATTAGTTCCATTCCTCTTCCTTGCTTCCATCTTTAATATTTGAACTTAATAATACTTTCTAATAATAATAATAATAAACCAAGATTCAAAGATGTTAAAGAAATTACTCAAATTATATATATAGGAGGTAACAGAACAGATTCTTCAAGCTAGATCTCCTGACTCCAAATCCTATGCATTTTTCAGTATAAGTATACGGTTCAGGTTGCAGCTTTGCAATAAAAAATAACGTGATGATAAAGTAAAATATTCTACCAGTTTTGAAGAGAAAATTATTCAAATCAGTAAGCTCTGAAGTTAAAAAAAAAACAAAAGGAGGAGAGGTTAGTGTCTATTTACTCTTCATTTGAATATTCTATATTTTGGAGGAATGGGAATATGAGTCATCTTTTTTTCCCCTTTTTTTAAAGAAGCTACTAATTTTCTTTATTGAGTCCTAGGATAAAGTAGGATTGTAAAAGTTAGTCATGTTTTTTTTTTTTGGTTTATGCTCTAAGGCCCTGGTAATAGGTAAGCTGTGATTATATTCCTGAAACTAATATTGCAGCAAAAATGGTTTAATACTGCCAGGTTTGAGAGAAAGATCTTTTAAGTTGCCATTACTTGGCAAAGTAGTACTAATGTTAAGAAAACAAAAATTGAGGTTCTCAGATATAAAAATCTAGTTTTCTGATTTATTATAGTCTTTCTTATATAAATGACAAATATTTTGGCTGAACTGATATACTGATGTGGTTAATCTGATTAAATGATATATTTATCTGATTATCTAACAAATTGAATCATATAGGCTAGCCCAAACCTTTCACATCTCACATGAGGAAATAGAAAATTGAGAGACACTAAGTGATTCGCTCAAGATCATGTACAAATTATATTACAGATTCCTGACTAGAACTCACTACTGCTGATTCTAAGCCCAAGTTCCTTTCCAATACATTACCTTACTTGATTTTATCAGAATATTATTCAGTCAGAACCTCTGGTACACACAATCTAAAATTTTAGCACATCCTCTGATGGAACATCCTTCAACAGGTGAAACATTTAAGAACAGACAGGCCCAGTATTATAAACATGATTGCAAAGAGAAGTCCTAAGCTGACAGAAAGAGAAAATAATAAATGGCACCTTTTTCATCTCTAAACTCTCTAATTCCAAGAAAACACCCTAAAGCCTTTGCCTTGGGTAAAAAATATTTGAAATGCCAAATCCGGTTATCAATTCATCTCTATGTGTGTCGGGAAGGATTACCACAGTTAAGTATATTCTAATCCTGTTTATACCTAGCATTACTCCTGATGTTCCAGTAAGAGTGCCTATTTTTATTTTTATTTTTGAAGTGACACTAACCTGAGAAGAAAGAAAAAACAGTATGTTTAAGCCATTCTTCAAAGCTCATCTCTATGAAGCTATTTTGATGGTAACAACAAAAAAAAAAAAACACAAAACCCCAGCAAGCTGCAGCTAAATTACAGTCTCATCCTCACATTCTCTGAATACAAATAACAAACGAACGTGATATACTTACAGAGTTTGATAATCAAATTTGCAATTCTGCTTATTTTATGCTGTTCTGTCCTAGAATTGAAAATAAAGACAACTAGTCACAGAGGGACACTTTTAATATTATTGTTTTCACATCTTCATATGAGAGCAAATGGGGAAATCTCCTTGTACGGTCTGGTGAATACAACATGGAATTTTTACATAACCAACTCCTGTACTCATTAACACTACTGAGACATCCAAAAAGGTTTGAAGTGTTTGATAATGTCTGTGGAGTAAGTAAACTTGTTGTCTCAAGTCAGGTAGTATGCTGTTAGTTCTACTATAGATGATGCTTCATTTTAAGTATCTTTAAAGGGCACACAGTAACTCTTTTCTAGGGTGTGTTTTGCCTCCAAATAATTATTAATAACACCCCTTACACTCACGAAATGTTCAACATCATTAAATGGAAAACAATGACTAAGGTCTTAAAGAATGTTGAGTTATTTTTCATAACTTTAACCACGTACCCACAGACACTGTGTAACAATAAAATTAACATTTTCCAAATCTCGTATGCTTTTAGTTCCTGATTATTCCTGTGATTCAAACCACTTTGGTTTTCAGTTTTAGATTATTCTGTTTTACATTCAATTACCACTTTAGGAAGTTCATAAATGACTTGAGATCTACCATCTCTTGACTTGCCACAAAACCACCTGTATTAAGTTTGAGGAAGTTTGAGATAATTATACAGGAAATTATAAAGTATTGGTTATTGTGCTTAGACCATTTAAAAAGCACGAAAGATCATTCAGATCTCACATAGACAGAATTCTATACATATTTCCAACAAAGATCAGTTACAATTTAGTTTTCAACTTTTATAAGAAATTTTGATTTTTTTTATAGCCACCAACCAGAAGACACAAAATAAAATTACATTAAAGTAGGAAAAACTTAGCATGACATAAATACTCAGACCTCAAGGGTCAACAAGCTAAATTGAGTTTTATAATTTCGTAGTGGTTATTCTTGTTTTGGGTAATTGTATTGCTGGAACACTAAGGTTTTCACATCTGTGCACTCTGGATCACCTTAAGCCAGCTGGTTCCTTTTAAAACTGCTCATCTTTTGTTCTTACTATGCTCTGACCTGGGCCCCTAGCCTTAAGACAGCAGTGTGCTTTCTGCAGCCAGGATATCCTCTTCAAGACTGTCAGACAATCTCAAATGATTGATGTGCTAGTCTGGTGCTCTGGTATTTTTCCCTTTCGTAAGACTCCAGTAAATCTACAGCTCATTCTATAAGAATGCTAATTAGATCACTTTTACTAACTTCACGCACGTTTTTTTTGTTCTCCTGTATCTTTGGAGGTGAGCTGGAAGTTTATAATACAGTGTGTTTCTAAAATATATTTTATAATATTACAAAGAAATAAAATACATTTCCCACCAAGGGAAATAATTCAAGTGATGAACTCAATTGGCTCTTTTCTTTCTAGAACTGCACCATGCATCTTTACTATGCTTACTTTTATTGGGAGCCTGCTCTACCCTCTCTGAGGTCATGCCCCTTATTGAGTCATGGTGTTCTATCATTCAAAGCCAAAGCAGGGCAGAGTCAGATTCTGTTAGGCTATCAGGCTTGTGTCTTTGCTGCAGAGCTGTTTTCACATAAAGACAGACCTCTATCAACCTCAGGACATTAATTCTAAGCCTCTTGCCTTAACACAAATTGTACCATGTCTCTCAACCTGTTGATTTTGGCTTTGAATTTCATGATTGATTGCCCTTTTGGGGCCTTACATAACCTCCCATTCTGAGACTATGAACTGACTTTCTGGCTTCAAACTTTTGCTTTCATTCTTGACCATATTTGGACTTTATCTCCAAATACGTTACCTCCCTCAGTAAAGTTCAGGTCACTCTGGTTTCCAGAACCTGTAATTACCACAGCAGAGTTCCCTGCAGTGAACACACCCAACATGTTCAGCCTGATTCCAGAAGTCAGGCTCAGACTGAGAAAAGTCAGGAACCAAAAAGACTGGGTGGATGTTGTCACGTGGCCCTTACGAACAAAGGTGGTTTCAGAGCAAGGTGGCTGAGAGGAAAAAGAACATTTCAGGGATAAAGAAAAGCAGATAGAAAAGTCCGGGCAACTTTAGGACTTTTATAGTATGACTGTGCACAGTACAGTCATAAAAATATGTTTAGTTCAAGTCATTTAAAAAACTGTAATCTAGTATATTTACATTAAATTGTTTCCCTACAGATTTATTAGTGACAAGAGAAAAATGGATAACCACACAGTAGAGAAACTGGGCACTACTCTGACTGGGTCATCAAAATGAACATCTCCATTGAGGGCAGATGGATATAGCGTGCCTCCTGATGTGGCACCCTGAGAAGAGCACATCATCTCTCACTCTGCATTCAGCACAGAACATGTAACCTCAGTCTACCCACCAAGAAACATCATGTAAAACCAAAACAAAGACTTCTCTGTTATTAAAAATGGAGTTATAGTTTTCAAAAATTTGAACACTATAAAAGCAAAACAAAGCTTTATAGAAATGCTCCAGATTAAAGATGACTGAAGAGTCGGGTGCAGTGGCTCACGCCTGTAATCCCAGCACTTTGGGAGGCCGAGACGGGCGGATCACGAGGTCAGGAGATCGAGACCATCCTGGCTAACACGGTGAAACCCTATCTCTACTAAAAAACAACAACAACAAAAATTAGCCGGGCGAGGTGGCGGGCGCCTGTAGTCCCAGCTACTCGGGAGGCTGAGGCAGGAGACTGGCATGAACCCGGAAGGCGGAGCTTGCAGTGAGCTGAGATCCGGCCACTGCACCCCAGCCTGGGATACAGAGGGAGACTCCTCTCAAAAAAAAAAAAAAAAAAGGTGACTGAAGAGTCTAAATCCTAGGTTGAGTCCTGATCCTAGGTTGAGTCCTAAAAACAGTCCTGACCCTGTTTTTCCTGAGGAAAAACAACGGTATAAAGGATATCATTGGATTAATTAACAAAATTGGAATACAGACGAAGGATTAGAAAAATGCATCAATTTTAACTTTACTTGTTATAAGACAATATTTTTATTTTTAGGAAACAGGTACTGAAGTATATAGGAGTAAAGGGACATGCTACTACTTTTCAAAAGGTTCAGAAAAAATATGCTGTGCATATGTATACATATATATGCATATCTTATGTGTGTGTATATATATGCATATATACACACACACAAACACACATATATATTCAGAGAGATAAAAGAGAATGAGTAAGCACAGTTATCTGGTAATGCAGATGGGGCAAATGTCAGCAACAGGTGAATGACAGTACAAAATAGATAGATATGCGAACATTCTAGTATCATTCTTATTCATGCTACTTTTCCGCACATCTGAAATAACTACACAATGAACCTGTGAGGAAATAAAAACTTCTGGCCAGGCATGGTGGCTCACACCTGTAATCCCGGCACTTTGGGAGGCTGAGGTGGGAGGATTGCTTGAGGCCAGGAGTTCAAGACTAGCCTGGGCAACATGGTGAAACCTCAACTCTACAAAAAATATAAAAATTAGCTGGATGTGGTGGTGTGCACCTGTAATTCCTGCTACTCAGGAGGGTGAGGAGGGAAAATCACCTGAACCCAGGAGGTTGAGGCTGCAGTCAGCTATGATTCTGCCACTACATAAATAAACAAACAAATAAATAAATAAAACCTCTAGAATGTCAAAAGCTTCTATGATTTACCACAAAAAAGCATGTGAGGTGACAGATATGTTAATTGGCTTGATTTAATCATTCCACAATGTAAATGTATAGCAAAATAGCACATTGTATCTCATAAATGTATACAATTTTTATTTCCAACCAAAAATAAAATAAAGTAACCCTCCCAAAACAAGCAAAACAAAACAATCATCAGGTATGGTGAGGGGTGGGGAAGACCTGAGAAAGGCAGGGGAATTTTTACAGTAACAGAAATCTCTTAATTTAAGTTCCTGATGGCCAAAAAGAAAAAAAAGTACTTGGATAACCCACAATTGGAAAGACAATTCCTACTGAAATGAGATTATACCTATACCCAGAGAAGATTCTTCTTTATATGCTATAAACATTTAGGAGCTGAGATAGTTTGTATTTTAAGGAGACATATGTAAAAATGATTTTAGGTCTCAGTGCTTCTGTTATTTGTACTTCTACACACTAAATATAATAAATGTAATCTGAATATAACAATAAGAGAATCAACGCTATGGAGAGAACAAATATATGCTTATCTGAAAGTTAGCAGATAAAGAAGTACTGCCAAAATAAACAAGCTGAGAGTGAGAACGGACATTCAAAGTACATTATTGTGTTACTGGAACATCTGGTACTAACACTGTCAAGTTTACATATGTTCTCAAATGCTTATTTATGTAACAATCAAATGCTAAGCATTCCAGCTGCACTTGTAAACTTTTTATGAACTGAAGTCATATGCACAAGCTCAGCTAAATATACTTCACAGAGGGAGGAGCGTAAGGAAACTAAGAACTCTCACAACTGAAGTCTGATTGCGGTGCAGCCTTCTGGCAGCGTTCTGGGCCAGTGTCTGGTGTGAGAACTAAGCTGCTGGCTCCTATAAGATTCACTCCATTCCAGCAGCTAGAATCAGAAATGCCTAACCAATGGGTCAAACATAATTTGGCAGTTACAGTTTTTAGACATAATTTTCTCAGAAAAGAAAATGGTATCAGGAAAAGAAAATAGAGCTAAGGACATGATGAAGTAGGTCACTAAGAAAAAGAATATTTAATATTCAAGTGAAAAAATCATTTCCTCAAGCGATCCTAGAGTTAGCACAAGTGGAATGACTGATTGTGGCAATGCATAAATTAGAAAAGACAGCATAAAAAGAGGAGGCATGTTTGTATGATAATTATCTCATATCACTCCTAATGAAAATTAGTTGTGTGAAACTTGCCTTCTTAGAGACAGAATTCATAGTAACTGCCTTAAACCCATTTTAAAGAGCAAAAAGGCACAGAGGGAAACAAGCATTTCATGCTGTTTTTCTCCTCTACTAACAAA